ACCCTTTTTGCCACATTTCAGACCCCTTTTTCCTTATTTCACTCTTTTTGCCACATTTGACACCATTTTTGCCCCACTTCAGACCTTTTTTCCTTATTTCAAACCATTTTTTTGCCACATTTCAGACCCTTTTTACCACATTTCAGACCTTTTTTGGCATTTCAGACCCTTTTTGCCGCATTTCAGACCCTTTTTCCTTATTTCACGCCTTTTTGGCCACATTTCAGATCCTTTTTCCTTATTTCAAACCATTTTTTTTGCCACATTTCAGACCCTTTTTGGCATTTCAGACCCCTTTTTACTTATTTCAGACCCTTTTTGCCGCATTTTATACCCTTTTTGCCACATTTCAGACCCCTTTTTCCTTATTTCACTCTTTTTGCCACATTTGACACCATTTTTGCCCCACTTCAGACCCTTTTTCCTTATTTCATACCAATTTTTTGCCACATTTCAGACCCTTTTTGCCACATTTCAGACCTTTTTTTGGCATTTCAGACCCTTTTTGCCCCATTTCAGAGCCCTTTTTGGCATTTCAGACCCCTTTTTCCTTATTTCACCTCTTTTTTTGCCACATTTGACACCATTTTTGCCCCACTTCAGACCTTTTTTCCTTATTTCAAACCATTTTTTTGCCACATTTCAGACCCTTTTTGGCATTTCAGACCCTTTTTGCCCCATTTCAGACCCCTTTTTGGCATTTCAGACCCCTTTTTGCCCCATTTCAGACCCCTTTTTGGCATTTCAGACCCCTTTTTGGCATTTCAGACCCCTTTTTGGCATTTCAGACCCCTTTTTGCCCCATTTCAGACCCTTTTTCGTTATTTCACCCCTTTTTTGCCCCATTTCAGACCCTTTTTCCTTATTTCATACCAATTTTTGGCCACGTTTCAGACCCTTTTTTCCTTATTTCATACCATTTTTTGCTGCATTTCAGACCCCCTTTTTAAGCATTTTCGCCCCGTTTCCTCCCTTTTTGCCGTATCTCCGGTATTTTCCGCAGCACCGCGTGGCCGTTTTCGCCCCATTCCGAAGCTTTTTTTTTGCCCTTATTTCAAACCTCTTTTTCTTTTCCCCCCCTCCCCACCGTC